CACCTGTGAATTACTCGTGTTATAGAATCCAGTCGGCTCTGAATCCGCATGATTTTCTCCTATGTCATCCTGCATCTTTTTCCGAAAGCGAAACAAACTTATGGCGATCATGGTGTTCATGCCCACAATAAGAACAACAGGTACGACAAGGGTCAAAATAGTGTCAACGTAGTTGATATACCCAGCAACTTTCTGGTATTCAGGTACCAGCTGACACTGTTCCTCAACTATGTTGACGATCAGAAAAATATAAAAATGAAAAATAAGAGCCACAGCAGTGAGGCTGAGGACGATTATTTTCGCCCTTGAAACTGTGCATATGTATGGCTTCTTCAAGGGATACTGCACTGCGATGAATCTTTCGACAGTGAAAGCTACTATGAGCCAAACACTGAGGAAGGAACAGACGTAGGTCAAGTACATTAAGACTTGGCAGAAACCGTTCTTGTTGAATATGTCAAAGATGTTATTGGAAGTACAGTAAACGACGAAGATGCAGAAAACATATCCAGTATCAGCAACTGCTAGCGCTGCTAAATAATAACTGGAACTCCTCAGCTTGAGGTGTGTCGTCAGCAGTACCAGACAAGAAAGCACATTCCCCACGAAGCCTACCACGATCACCACTGGGATGTAGTACATGTGGATGAAGTTTAGGTAAATGACAAAGTTCATCGCTCCTGTCGCGCAAGATTTCTCGTCGTAGGAACAGCAGCAGCAACCAAATGTGCCATTCGTTGCAGACATTTGTGGCTCTTCAAAAAATAATTCTGTGTTTGCGCTCTCAAAGTTGGGGAAAGTTAAACTCGTCGGGGAGTTCATAGCGAGAGATGTACCGCGTGGAATCGCGCTGAAGACTGGATAATGTTGAAGAGTTTGCTGGAGTTGTGGATTCGGGCGCAAGCGTTAGATTAATTTTCGGAATGGAGGCGTTTTGATATTTGATACGGTATTATCGGTATGTTTATTGCGGACTCATCGTACAATATAGTACGATGGACTGTAACAAAAAAACTAAAACATTTTGTGAGGGGTCAAATTTTAAATTGATCTATTATTATTGTCTGAATTTTGGTCGGGAAGTTGTCGGTTGGTTACTAATTCAATTCAACGATTGCGTATTGCTTGGCTTGTGCTAGAAATCGCACTGAATGACATTATTCCTGGAATTATAATTTCTGAGGGATGTCGTTCGTAAGGAGGTGGTAAATAGTAGGTTATTTCAAAAGTTTTGTACTTTTCAGTGCCATGTGTTCTCCTGGCTCCATATCTCAATAAATATTCTACTATGTAGTGGTATATACTGATACTGATCGACAGGGAAATTTGTACTTTATAGTATAGTATAGTCTTTCAAGATCCTTTTTTTGAAACTTCTGTCCAAGGGCACCGAAAATTATGATCCAGGGCTCATTCGATTCGGAATGACCTCTAGTAACTTTTTGAATAATTTCAAGAGGGGTTCGAAGAAATTGCAAAAGTTATAAACAATTTAGTGAAAAAA